TGTACTCAACCGTCAGAAACCCTCTTTTTATGCTGAACTCTCATGTCAATCTCCATCGTCTCTATCTCCTACAAACCCTTCTCCTAAAACTTGCTCAACCATCAACCTCCTACAATGGCTAAAATCCAAAAATCCCTCTGCCTCCACTAGAAAGAGCACCCGCTCCAGGGCAAAACCCCCTTCTCAGCCCCCTGAACAAGTAGATCCAGGGTCCGATCACTCCGAGGGGTTTGCCTCTTCTCAGGCGGACTTCTCTGATCATTCTCAACCCTTAGGAGAACAAACCCTGGGAAAAAGACCCATGGAAGAACCCCCTGTCTCCTCCACTCCAAAGAAATCAAAAGTCGACCTTTCCAGTTCTCTTGAGTCGGAACTCAATTTCTGGGATTCTCCAAATATGGACTTCTTTCTTGCCCTAAAAGACAAACCTATTGCTCATGGGTGGGTAGTCGACCTTGATGACATGGAAGCCCTAAATTGTAAGGTAAAGGACCTTTTCATTTATCAAGGGGGGTCGAAGTTCTTCTCTGTTCCTCCGCCTAAAGTCTATTAGTGAGAATGTTCTATGCTAATCTTCGTTCTAGTAGGTCTGATAAGTTGGAGTCCTTAGTATTAGGAAAGCGTATTGTTCTTGACTGTGCCATGTTTGATTCGATTTTTAAGTGTTCTGGTTTCCCTATGCTCTTTAAAAATTCCTGGCCCGATGATTTTGAAATTCCCTTTGATCAAGCCAAAATATGTATTGCTGAGTGTCCATCTGAATCCCTTCCAAACCAGCTAGGTCCTAGTGATGTTAGTTTTGAAACTCGTGTCCTAGCCCACATTGTGGCAACCACTCTGCTTCCCCGTATTGGCTCTTTCTCCACCTTCTCTCTACGAGACACTTTTCTAGTCTATTGCCTAGTGACCAAACTCAAAATCAAACTGTCCTCTTGGGTCATCAATTTCATGATTGAAAGTCTAGAAGATCCCACTAGTCTACCCTATGGAATGGCCATAACTCACATTCTGGAAGCTCACAATATTTCCATCTCTGCATATCCTTTTACCTCTGTTTCAAAATCGTACAACTCCAGAGCCTTTGCAAGTATGGGGTATGTGTGTGTGAAGGGTTCATGGGTCAAGAAACAAGAAGGAGATGTCAAGACTGCTCATATAGACTCCAAGCCTAAACCTTCTGCTTCCCATCCTAGCCATAATGACTCTGACCTTGCTGAGAAACTTAGTGCCATTGACAATCAACTCTCTGCAATCAAAGATCTTCTCATTGCCACTCAGTCCACTATTGGTAACATTCATGCTATATCTAAAGAAACAGGATATGATGTCTCTAAGATACGGGTTGCGGTTCTCAAAGTAAGGGAAAACGCTGTCAAGGCATTCAAGGAGGTTCATGACAGGCTTGATGGAATAAGTGTCTCAGCCAACGCCAGTTTTGATCAACTGAAAGAGGCCATCTGCTACACTCTTACCTATTTTCTGCCTCGTTAATGTGGAAGTTTAAGACAATTTTTTTTGCTGTGCTGTTTTTGGATTGAGATATCAGTCGGTGGATAATGTTTTTCTTTCTTTTGTTATGTTCTAACTCTGACAGTACACTCTGCTATGAATCCTGTTTATGCATGCCGTTTTTATTATTCCCTCTTTGCTGATGTCAAAAAGGGGGAGAAAATATATATGTATTGTGCAGGTACTGTATTGTGCAGGTACATAATAAGTCGACTATGGCACTCCTTGAGGGGGAGTCACAGATCCCGAAGAAGTCGACTACATGCGCCTCAAACTAATTAGTACAAGACAGAGCTAACAACTCTTATTGAGGGGGAGCAAACTACAGGGAAGTCAACTGCTGTTTATACATATATATTATTTTGTCAACATCAAAAAGGGGGAGATCGTTAGATCTAATTTTAATGATGAAAATAATATATCTGCTCTTTGTATAGGAACTCTTGGATAGCATTCAACATTGGAGAAATCAATCAGCAATGATCAAGGAACGTATGGATTGATATACAAGATTGATGGAATCAATCAGAGTACATCAAGGAAAGGAGACGCAATTAAAGGAAGAAGAAATCAATCAGCGGATACTGACGGGATCGATCAAGGCTAAACTAAAGGAACCAAATAAATCAAGTATATTGAAGATCCTGCCGAATATTCAATCAAGCGTCTAAATATGGGAGGAACAATAATCCGGGTTCACACACAAGGGAACATCTTTACAGTCTCTCGTTCAAAGGAGCCGTTGCAGAATAGCTTTATTCTTGGAAAGAATCAATCTCTTTCCAAGGATCAAATCTCTTCGGTTGGCAAATCTTTCCAGAATTCAAGCCTCTCTCAAAGTATTTAAACTTGCAATCACACCTTAGCACATATACTTTGATCGAACAAAACACCCTCTCTTTGTTCTACTACAAACAAACATTGTAGCTCTATTAAGATCTGATGTGTAACAAGTTAGAGAAGAAAGAGAGAACAACACTGGTGAGACATTGTATCAAAAGAGACGAGTGATATAGGAACTAAGTTATCGGTGTAGATCACACCATTCTCTGTGCACTCGAAGAAACTCATTCACTGAAAAGAACCCCCTTGCAACCCAAGGGGACTAGACTAGGATTCACATTGAATCCGAACCAGTATAAAAATTCTGGTGTCTTTAATTCCTGCATTTAATTTCAGCATCTTAAATTTCGTTGTTACTATAGTCAACTTATTACATCTAGTCGACTAATTGAAAAACTAGTCAACTAATAGCAATTAAGTTTAAAAATAAACAATTCACCCCCCCTCCCTTGTACTTTCATTTGATGTAAACGTAATATACATGTAAGTTTTTACTCGACACACTTATTCTTTCACTTGCAGATGGGGTGTCAATGATTCGATTCGACCGGTTATTTTATAAAATTTATATCATACCAATTTTTGGTTACTCTATTTTGTATAACCAAACTTAGACTTTTTTAAACCGTTTTGATCATCTCGGTTTCTCTTCGGTATCAGTGCAGTTTGGTTAATTTTCAGTAATTTTCTTAAAATATAATGTAGAGTCTCTAACAGAAGTTAGAACGCGATAAGATACGTACTTACTTAGGACTTCAGCAAAACTCTCTAGAAATTTTTACAGTTTAAAAACGATGAGTCAAGGGAATATAAAAGATGGCCAAAATAGATATTCATCACACTATTCTGCTACAACATAAGAGAAATTAAGCAAAGATAAAAGAAATATTGATCAAGCTAATAGAGTCAAGATTGGACTCAAGAATAAAGTCTATTAGAAGAATAAGAATCCAAAAATCTAAACCATACGAGAGGAAAGATATTTAATACTTATGGTTTGCCACTCAAGATTGCTAGAATAACGAAAAAATTTATTTTGTGCCTCACACAAGTGATACTAGTTATGTGAGGCCTTTTTTGTCTTACAATTTTGTGGATCCAAAAGTGTAAGATATGAGACCACAAATTTGAGAGATAAAAAGAGGCCCCCATCAACTAATGTCAGTTGTGTGAGGTACACCATAAAACTTCTCACTATTCAAGATGCTAGATAGATCTAATTTAGTTTCAATAGGACTAGCATAATAAGTTTGCGAGTTGAGACTTTGGGTATTAGTTACTCGTTAACAGTAAACGTTTCCATAATCACAAAGGCCAAGGAAAAAAAAATAATGTTTTGTTTTTTAAACTTAATGTATAAAATATGTTTTTCTTATTTAGAACTATTTGGTACGATTTGATATTTTTGGGTTTGTTTTTGTAAAATTAAAAGCTTATCCTAATTATCGATACGGTTATAAATTTATATAAAAACCTACGATTCTATTAAAATAAATCTTATAATCGTATTAGTACGGCTCCATCAGTTTGTTTAGTCGACTTTTAAAGATCATCGACAGCCCTCCCTACTTACGGATATTATCAATTGAATAAGTCTTTTCTTAAGTTGGGGGTGGGGCCTTAGTAAACTCCATAGGCAACTTTCAGATCTACTTGTTTAATTAGATTTACAGACCTTCCTCGATTATTTGTATCAACTAACTTAACTAATGAAAGTGAGCTTTTACTTACCTTATACATTTCCTCAACTGCTAATTCACATCTAGCAAATTTTGGGATTAAAAAGAAGAACATTTATTTATTAGAATTCAGATGTCCAAATCTTCATCTGCTGCTTACTCATTCTCCTAACATGTTAAATCAGTACCCAGCAAACAAAATTTTAAAAAATATTTATGTCACATTTCCCAGATAATAAAACCAGTAGGTTGTGCATCCCTCACCCCCCCCCCCCCCTCCCCAAACACACACCCCAAAAACAAAAACAAATAAATAAAGAAAAGTCAGGAACGTACGCAAGGCTACCAAATAGCAATGGGCCCCACCTGAAATTTCCAAGTAAGCTCCTTGTCCTCGAATCCATGGTTTTTACTCAGTCACAGTTTTATGAATCATTCAAATTCTCAACCATTTTCTACGTCACACATTTTCTGTGAATCTTTCTTCCCTAAAAACCAAAGTACACTGCGTCGACTTTCTGAAAGTTTAGAGTAGAAGAAGAAGTAGGCTACTAGTATTGAAAAGTAAACCCAACTCTTTCTCTTTCTATTCATGAGCAAGACAATCCCATTTGTTTGGCTTTAAAGTTGTTGATGCACTTTGTAAGCGATAAAACAATCAGAAAATAGAGGAAGGGTAAATCGTAATCAAATATAATAATCCTAGAGATGCAAAGATGATAATGTTTGTTATAGATCCCGTGTTAGAAGGATAACAATGTATGTTCATAAGATATATTAATCGGAAGTAGAGATATAGAGAGAAAGATAGAAAATGAGAGAGTTGTATTAGATCAGATAGCCCCCTCTACAATGTGGGGGTCTCCTTTATATAATAGAAGACCTTCCTCGAAAGAATCAAAAAGTTACAGAGATAGGTAACGTCTTTTTAGTGTAGACGCTGAGTTCTAAACGACGCCGCTTTCGTCCTCACGGCCGAGTCGTACCCGCTACGTTGGTCGGCGTACACTCATTGGGCGCGCCCGCTGGCGTAGAGATATCGAGGGTTAAATTTGACCCTATACACCATTTTACCACTTGGTGGGGTTAACACAGTGAATTTTCGCTTGTTTGTTAAGTCAATCCCATTTTACCTTTTGGTTTTATGTTTGTTGTATACGCGTTTGTCAAACAAACTCGTTTTCTGGTCTTAATCTATCCATTCATTCCTTATCTCTTTGTCTGTTTTCTCTCTCCGTCCGACGGATTTTATTTACTGTGTTTATTCAATTTCTGGGTTCTGATGAGTTTAACTTTAAAGTTGGTGGCTTTTACGGAGTCAACTTGGCTTGTGAATTTAACTGTTTTTGTGCTTTAAGGGTTGATATCACTAGTTTTGGTAAAAGAAGAAATTTTGGGTTTGAGAAATGAATGAGCGCTGGAAATTCAGTAAGCATGGTTTGTTGGTTTTTGCTGTGTTCTTGTGTTTTGTGTATCAGAAATTGAGTTTCTGTTGGTCCCTCAACGATGAAGGTATGAGCTTTTCTTTGATTATTTACTATTTTTAGATTTATTTTATTGGAGAGTGGCAGTTAAAAAGTTGTGATTTAGCTTCAAGATTGAGTCTTTACTTCTTTTGGGCTTGGTATAAAATGAATGTTATAACTTGTTCTTTCAGGTTTGGCACTGCTGAGATTTAGAGAGAGAGTGGAGAATGACCCATTTGGGGCTTTGTCGAATTGGAAAGACGATGAAATGGAAAATCCGTGTTCTTGGTTTGGAGTTGGGTGCTTTAATGGAAATGTTGTGGCTCTGTAAGTTACTTAAATTGCCTGCAATTGTGGGATTCCTTGTATGATGCCTTTCTGTTGGTATTTGTTTCTATAAATCCTCTTATAAGAATTTTGGCACCAATTTTTATAAGAATTTTGTATATAGAGTAGCTAAATACCATTCAATTTGATTTTTGTTACTCAATAGCTTGAGAGGCTAAGGACAATCTTATGCTTTACAATGATCAAGATAATTACTTAGGCTCGACAATGGATACAAATAAAGTCTAAATTCAATAGTGTTCTTGATTCTATATTTCTAGGAGTTAACACAGGACTCAAGTTCTGTAAAAGGTGTAATTATATCATAGTTGGAATATATTCATCCCTAGCTAACTGTAGAAACACCTTTGACTATGTCCATTTTCGTGAATGCATTGGATTTCATACACAATGTCTCCATTTATTATCATGTAGTATATAATTTTCAAGACAGAGTAAGTAGCGTACGTGTCTAAATTGAATAGGCTACTGTAGAAATAGCCATGGTATTGATGTTCCTTTGGGTTTAACTAATCTGTGTTTTGAAAACTACTCACAGGGACTTGAAAGATCTTCATCTCTGTGGTACTCTAGCTCCTGATCTCGTGCGCTTGGTTCACTTGAGGATTATGTATGTGCATATTTAGCTAGATGATTTTTCGTTGGTCTAGTTGCTGTCATTATGAATCATAAACTTAAGTCTTCTTTGCTTTACAAGATAATTTACAACTCACTGGAGACTTCTTTGCAGAATTTTACGTAACAACTCCTTTTCTGGGGTCATACCCGATGAGATTGCAAAGCTAAAAAAGTTGGAGATTCTGGACCTTGGATATAATAACTTTAGTCAGCCGCTGCCTTCTGACTTTTGCAATAATCCCTCTCTGTGAGTTCAGACAGACATGGTGTCAACTTCTTTTAATTTCACCTCCTTGTTCCCTTACTCACAGAGTTACACGTAATGCAGTTTATTAGACAGCAATGAGCTGTTTAGCCACGTATTTTCTGGAACTGATAGGCTTCAAATGGTCCCAGATGTTCAAGCAAATAACAACCACTTTCCCGGAGCCCAACCTATGTCACCTACCAATGGGAAATTGATATTAAGGTATGCATCTTTCAATCAAATAAATATGTATATTTTTTTAGAGTAATCCTAGCAACTTAAGTATTCAACATAGTAATTGTAAAGTGACTTGAATGATTAAGAGATTCCATTGTTGGAATGCATATTCGTGAAATAAGTCTACATGTGTAGCAATTCATTGCTTGTTCTCTCTCCCCCCCCCCCCCCCCCCCCCCGAAATCTTTGCAAAGAAGTTTACAAGTCCTATCAATTTTCCTTGTCTTCTAATTGTCTTGAGTTCTCTTTTGGTTGGCCTTTACATTGAACGTCTCTAATTTCCCCTTAATACCCTGATAGCTAATTGTTAAGAACATTTCAATTCATGTTTTCATAAACAGTGTTCTATTTTTTTACCGATATTTCTGAAGAGATAAACTGGTAATTTTTTCTTTTTCTTTTTTCTTGGGATAATTCACCTTGTTTTCAATCAGGCCTTGCTCTAACTTCTTTATAGGTATATACTTCTTTGGTAGCAACATATGTAGTTATAATGAAATTTAAATAATGTGCAGGAGTACAACAGAACTTGGAGATGTAGCTGGAAGAAAATTACTACAAGTGTCATCTTTTCCTCCCCTGAATAACTTCTGGAAGCAATTTCAGCCGGTTTTAGCTCCTCCTGAAGTTGGTGTCAAGAACAATGCGCCTTCATCCTCCCCATCTCCAGCTCCAAGTCCTTCTCTTTCCCCATCTCCTACACCGTCAATTACTGCTAAACCTCACCTGGCTCCTTCACCAACATCCTCCTCTTCTTCTTCTCCATCTTCACTTCCCAGTCCTGCAGAGAACCCAAGTGGACTTGAAAATTCCAGACGAAGTCATCATCGAGTTATAATATTGTCTGCAGCTATAGGAGGTCCCATTCTACTGCTCATATTGATAACTGGCGCAATCTTCTTTCGAAGCAACAAAATAGCTGTTGTAAAACCTTGGGCCACTGGTTTGAGTGGTCAGTTGCAGAGAGCATTTGTTACTGGTAATTTTCTATCTATCAATAAATGAATAGTACATCTATTTGTAGAAAATGGCTGTCTTAAAAATCAGACACATATAATGGAAGCTTATATGGGCATATGAACTTGGTATAAGCTTCTTTTTCAATTGATAATAATCTTTGACCTTTTCCCATTTTTTCTTTTTGATATCTCAAAATTTATTTATCAATATGAGCAAATACTCTAAAGATAGACAGCTGAGTTTTATCATTCTTATTATGTAAACAGGCGTGCCAAAGCTGAAGAGATCAGAGCTTGAAGCAGCCTGTGAAGATTTCAGCAATGTAATCGGTTCCTCATCTGTTTGCACACTATATAAAGGCACATTATCTAGTGGAGTTGAGATAGCTGTGATCTCTCGTACAGTGGAATCTGCTAAGGATTGGTCTAAAGATATGGAAGCCCAATTCAGGAAAAAGGTGTTTTAAGTCATCCAGTTGGATTTTTACATCTCATTTCTTTCAATTTATTGAGTTTCTAAATGATTTTCTCCCTGCTTTTACCAGATTGATACAATGTCAAAAGTCAATCACAAGAACTTTGTCAGCCTCCTCGGTTATTGCGAAGAAGAGGAGCCATTTACCAGAATGATGGTTTTTGAGTATGCTCCTAATGGGACGCTCTTTGAACATCTGCATAGTAAGTTTCTTATTCTCATGGGGTAGCCGTTGTGATCTACTCAATATTGTTCTCCAACTCTTCTCATCTCCTTGATTGAAATGTTTAGGCAATACTTTTATATAGCGGGTAAAAACTTACTCGCACCTGGTGTTTACACAACCCATATTTATTTACCATTGTTAAGTGATAAATTGACATTGGTTCAATGATAACAGTGTCTGTGAAAACACATCTTGTGTATTCATTGGGGTGGTGTAAATATCAGGTGTGGCCAAGTTTGTTTCCCCTACCTAGCTTATGGTGTTTGTTCTTTGGTCTCATGTTGATAATTTATGTCTGTAATTGGAGAAGTAACCATTTTCGCATTAGCCTCATAAGATATTTGACCATTGTACTTCAAATGCTCTCGCTTATTAACTCGAAAAGTCATTGATTCTGAGCAGAATGTTCACACCTGTACAAGTTATCTTTGGTATTCACTTTATCTGCTCTTTTTACAATGTATCTATCTTTCCATGTGATAAACAACAACCATTTTGATGTGATTGAAATATCTCATGTTTGCGCTAGATGTTTCTTGTGCCATGTGACGAATTACAACTCTTAGATGTAACTGAAATGCCTACTGCTTATGCCTTTTTTTTTTAACAACCATTTGATGTGATTGAAATATCTCATGTTTGCGCTAGATGTTTCTTGTGCCATGTGACGAATTACAACTCTTAGATGTAACTGAAATGCCTACTGCTTATGCCTTCTTTTTTTTTTTTTAACAATTGCAACGGACTGAAAATTTTAAGGGGAGTGGAGAATGAAAGGAAATAACTGGTCAAGGTCTTCGGTGAATTAGCATTGAAAAAACATTGTTTTTTTTTGGTTTCTGTGTAATTAGAGCTCTTACGCTGTAACAGCCCAGCCTGCTAGTGATATTGTCCGCTCTGGCCTGGGCCCTCATGGGGTTTAAAACGCGTCACTAGGATTTAAGGCTTGTTAACTTATATACCCAGCATCCCTCTTGTGTTTTGCCGATGTGGGATTCTGTCTAAAGTCTGAGGTGTTACATACGCTCTTGAACGTATTTGTGAAATTTTTTTATCTGCCTCTACAATGACTACTTTATTTTAACTGGCTCTTCCTTGCAGTAAGGGAAGCTGAACACTTGGACTGGGGAATGCGAATGAGGATAGCAATGGGCATGACATACTGCCTTGAGCATATGCACAATTTATCGCCATCTTTACCCCATAAAAACTTGACTTCCTCCGCCGTGTACCTCACAGAGGACTATGCAGCCAAAATATCGGATTTTGGGTTCTGGAACGAGACAGCTGCAGCTGAAACGGGGTTGAGTCCAGAAAGTAATGTTTACAGCTTTGGTGTCATTTTATTTGAGATGATGACCGGTAGGCTGCCTTACTCGGCAAACAGCGGCTCTCTTGATGACTGGGCAGCAGACTATCTAAGGGAAGGACAAACCCTGAGGGAAATGGTGGATCCAACTTTAAATTCTTTCCAAGAGGAGCAGCTAGAGAGAATAGCTGATGTGATTAGAATGTGTGTACATCCTGAGCCAAGACAACGACCGACGATGAGAGAGGTTTCGGGCAGATTGAGAGAGATAACAGGTATAGGACCAGATGGGGCAATCCCAAGACTCTCTCCTCTATGGTGGGCTGAGCTTGAGATTATATCAACAGAGGCTTGTTAATATGCATAGGCACCATAAAATTGCCTTTAGATGGTAATCAATATAGAAGCTGTATATATAAAGTTGGAAAATCTTTTTCCATTCTTTTTCTTCTTCTTTTGGGTGGATCAGAAAAGCAGATGGAGAAGTTTTTGTTTGTGTACAAAAAGGAAAATTAATTTTTACGTGTCAAGATTTGCTTTCTTGAAGGTTTGGGATCAATTCTATTTCTTATCAATAGACCAAATGGACAAAATGAACAACCACAAGAACATATATGAAATCCCTCATTTTGGAGAATTTCAAGAACAACAATAATAAGTAAGGGCATCACGCTAACCGATTTGAACTGAGTGTTGTATATTTCACTTTTTTTTCCTCAACTGTTTTTCAAGTCATATTTTGTGTGTTTTAAACAACACATATATACATGATATTCGTGGTGAAGCTTTTTAGTTCTAGTAAACAGAAATCCATATCCAACTTTATGCCCCTTGAAATAGCAGTCAATTTCGAATAGTTACGGTAACAAAATCACCTTGAGTCAATTATTCAGGCACCAAGATGTTAAACCAAATGAACTTGTCCTTGCACCAAGATGTTAAACCAAATGAACTTGTCCTTGAAAAAGAGAAAGAATTGGCACGGGAGAAGATAACTTAACAGATTGGTAATTTGTCATGAATCATGATAATACAGTAAGTGGAGGTACGTGCAAGCTAGTCCGGATACCTCTCTCTATCTATATCTATTTATTTATATCTATATTTATATTTATATTTATTTATTATAAAAGCACGAATGTTAAAACGCTAAATGTTGAGCGACTAAAATATCCCTAAAATATTGATAGACTTTTATACCCTTTGAAAAGAGAATTAAGCTCCATTCTATGTTGGATAAAATTATAATCTCTATTAGTATTTTAATATTAGATGAACTAATGTTTAAGATTTTCAAGTTGGCTAAGAATTCGTCACTTTCAGTCTCCTACCAAAACTTTATTTTTGAGTTTCAATAATAAATACTTAATCTACTTTAGAAAAACTATTATCATTAAGTTTTGTGACCTATATCAACTAAATTACTTATTGATAGGAGAGATGCCTCATGTTCCGTTTAGAATTTAAGGCGATGTAGTGCACCAATTCTATTTGAATTGCAATTGGATAATATTTGGTTTGCTTCGATTTGTAGTGACATTGTAACTCTTCCATCTTGGGAGTTTGAATCAACTTTGGGACAACCTATTGTAACTTAGATTCCAAGTCAAAACGCCAGGTGCTCCAATGTTTCTATAAAGAGACTCTTTTCACGGATTACAAGCCATGAAATTTAAGTGCCTGATTTTTTGAATTGATAATGATAATAAACCGTGGTAGATCAACAAATCCTAGGAGATATTACTTCATATATTTTTTAAACCTACAACCATATTCTTATAACGTTAGAAGAAGTTTGTCTTTATTCGCAATGTCCAGTTCGAAATTTTTACTTTGTTGTTTCATAACTGTTTTATGTGTTCTAATCAAATATCATTAAAAATCAAAATAAATATTATTTCCCCTACATCTCTTTTTTTCTTTTTTTCTTTCGGTTGTTGCTTATTTACTTTATATGTGTGTCACGATTAATCGTTCAAAATAAATTTCAGAATTTTTTTTATTGAAAAGTACTTTAACATACCCAATCAAGATTTATATTTGGAATGTTCCAATTTTACCTTTGTCCGTGCAATTTTATTATTTATCATACCAGTCTATCACTTTTTTTGGTCTAAATCCATGTATTAATTTTTATAAGATGAAGACAAAACATACTATCGCTTTAGGTACATATTCTCTACCAATTATCATGGGGGACATCGTGCAACGCACATTCGTAGAGACTAGTTATTATAAAAGTACGAATATTTAGAAGCTAAATGTTGAGCGACAAAAATATCCTCAAAATATCAACAGACTTTTTTGCCCTTAAAGTTAAATTTTTTTTTTTCATGAAACAATTTAATATTGGATATAACTGTCATATCGAGTAGAAACTCAATCCTTTGAATAAGAAGAATTCTATGCTATATCGGATACAAAGATAGAGTAACCTATGTTGAATAGATTACAAAGCAACGAACTAAGCTCCAAGCGGTTTGGAATTGCAAACACCGTTCAACTTCAAATTATTTCTTTATAGATATTATTTGGTATTGGATAGAATTGTAATATTAAGGAGTTCTTCCAATGGTTATGACTTTGTCAATTAAAGTTGTGATAATTAAAAATTGTGATATGTGATAAAGTCTTAAAAATTGCATAGAAGTAGGACTGTAATAATTACTAATAAAAACCTAACAGAAAATTAATGAAAAGACTTGTCATTCCGACTAATGCCGACTTTAAAGACACGTGTCATTCTTTAAAGTCGGACCATTTATATTTTCAGATCAAATTATAATTTATTTGTGAAAATTGGACCATTATGTTCTAGATCACAATGTAATTTCTTTATGTTGGAGTCGATTCCTTTAAGTTATAACACACTTAAATTTTAAATTTTTCTTGAAGAAGTTATTTCATTACGGATAGAATTGTAATACTCAGGACTGCCTAATGTTGTGGTTCTGCTCGCTATAATGTAGTTAATTATCCGCATGTAATATTTCAATCCACTTTTTGTTATGACCTATTTAATTATTTGCAAGTGATATCTCATATTGTTAAAGCAAGAAGGAGAACTTACAATAGGATTAAATTTTCTAACGTACATATTTATGTCCTTTTTGAAAAACAATCAAACACAAACTGATTTCGTATAATAAGATGTTTGCCACCTTATTGACTCTAGAAAAGAGCTCAATCAAAACATTAATTCATGAGTTTCGTTTACTTGACTTTTACGAGCCAAATAGCTTTTTCTCTTTTTCTTTTTTTTTTTCTTTTTTTTCTTTCTTTCTTTCTTTCTTTCTTTCTTTCTTTCTTTGGGGCATCTTCGGTGAAGATTAATGTACTATTTTTATTTTTATTTTTAATCTTGTGAATTGCGATATAACACTTGATTCTATTATGCTCGTCAAATAAATATTTTAAATCTTTGTGAAATTACGAAATTATTTAAAAACAAAATTTTATAATGGTTGACGCAAGATAACATGCAACACAACGAGAAAAGTAGTTACTTATCTAACGTAAATCATAAAATCACAAAAGTTATTAAATACTGTTGCATTCTTTAACTAAATTTACAATTTAATCGTATCGCTTTGTACACGTTTTATAATATTTAACAAAATATATTCGTGCAACGCACGAACATAGAGGCTAGTGTGTGTGTATATATATATATATATATATATATATATTTTAATACTGTGCTTTACATATTTTATTTACTTTTCTTACGCGGGGTACACCACAATTGAATTGGATGCCCATGTTCCAAGACTATTTCACTAATCCTGTGTTTGAAAAATAAGATGAAGAAAAGTTATCTCAAGAAAATAAAATTTCAGTTCCACGACTTTCTTCTTATGTTCAAAATTTGCTGTTAGAAAACGTACCCGTTTTAGGATAAAGAAAAAGAAAAGATTTTGTTTAGCACGCAAGTAGTTCTCTATACTCGTTTTGTTCCAAAATTTTAAAGAATTTTCGGTTTCAAGGGTGAGTTCTACCCTTACCTTTTTGAAGAGTTTTTGTCAAAATTAGTATATTCTACTTTGACAAAAGCAAAAGGTGACAAATTTTTTTTTTTTTTGGAATTAAGGATCAAGAGCAAAAATAACATGTCATCATATTTAACTTTACTTTTCAACACAAACTCTAGTCTATTTATATTTCGAAAGAGCAAAGATCAACATAAGTATCCACATGTTGACCAATTGAATATTAAGCATTTTTGTTATTTAACTTTTCTAATAGTACTAATCATGTATTTTGAGATTAATATTCAGTTTGGGATAGTCAGAGTACATTAAAATGATTATCTTTATGGAATACGAATATAGCATTATTCCCTTTTACTAGAATGATACTTCGATGAGATAACCATACCTCGTAGACTTGTCGTTAAATTTTCAAGTAGATTGGCTCACCTAACCCTATCATATTATAGGAGGGGTAAGTGGTTTGCACGTAGATGACTCTACGTGGGGATGAACATATTGAAGCTCATAGAATATTATACAAACTATAAACTTCTGAACATGGTCATCACGTCTGGAAAATATTGAGGATGAACATTGAACTTAAACAAATGTGATATAGTAGCATTCACGTCCTTAACAACATTCAGAGCATACAGATAAAGCCATGCCTAAAACTATATATAGGAATCAACTCAAATGTACTTTAACATCAAGCAAGAAATACATTCCAAAACTGAAATAAGCTACACGACGTAATTTCAAGAAGATGGCAAGCAGCCAACTTATCCTGATCGTCTCGTTGCTCTTTGCATTAGCCATACCACTGACAACCGCCTATAAAAAAGCCCCAGCTAAGCCTGTAGAGAAGACTGCCCAAGTGGTGGTTGAAGGCATGGTCTACTGCCAGAGCTGTGATAACTATGGATCATGGTCTCTCTCAGGTGCTAAGCCCATCGCAGCAGCTAAAGTTAGTGTTATCTGCAAAAATTACATGAAAAGAGTAAGCTACTATAAGGCATTTCAAACCGATAAAAATGGCTACTTATTTGCAGAGCTGGATGGCTTCAAAATGGGGCATTCTTATCTTGACCATCCTCTCCATTCATGCCGCGTGAAACTTGTCTCCTCTCCTCTGGAAAACTGTGATGTGTTCACTAATGTCAACTATGGACTCACTGGTGCTCCACTCCGATTTTTAGACAAAACATTGAGGCGGAGTAATTATGAGGCTGTGATTTATGCTGCAGGCCCCTTTGCTTTCCGACCAGCTTACTGCCCTCCTAAACCAGAGTATTAATTGATTTCCACCATGTAATATTTTGATTTTTTTCCTGGTTCTATGTTTTCACAAGAGTCTTGAGTACAATTTATTTCTATTTTCTAGAAATAGAGTCTTGAGTGCAACATTCTTCACATTGCAGCAACTTTTTGTTCCCATTGCATTTCATAATTGATTATTCCAGTTACAATCTCTCTATCTCTATCTATCTATCTATCTATAGGTATGTGCTGTGAAATCTCAACTTTCGACTAAGATCAATGGCTTTCATCTGACCAAATAAGATGTCAGATCCATCTCTTTTTTTCAAGGGGTGACACGATCCACCTCACACATCTCAAAATTTAGGCAGGATAGAATAGAGAACAAAAGCAGTCAATAAACTCAAAACTCATGGATATTTAAAAGAAAATAAAGAAGACATTACCAGTTTGAAAAAAAAAAATAGAAGACTTTACCAGCATCTTAGAAATCCAATGGCATTGCAAACATTTTATTTATGTCATCCATTGCCTCCTTTGTGCACACAGTTTGCTCGAACAAGTCACTTCCCCTTTTTGCCGTGGAAATTGGCAGGGAACTCTTTGGTTGATGGTGTATCTCATCATCTGGAAGTATCATGAACCCACTGTCATCTCTCTCCATCTTAGGTGCTTGTTCCCGTTTCTTTGGCCTGCTTTTCCTTGTAAACTCAATTGGCTTTCCGAACATGCTATTAATATCATCCATAGCCTCCTTCAAGTTAATTGTTGGTTCTACGAGGCCATGATGGCAAACATTTTCGACCTGTGATTCTTCTGAAATGGTGGAACCTACAAATCTGTATACAACTGTGTCCTCCCTACGGAGTCTTGTTTGAGGTGGCCTTTCAAAATTTGGATCTCCAGAACATTCTGAAGTAACATCAGAAGGACGCGGAAACACAAAACCGTTCTCAATCCTCTCTTCAATAGTACATCCAGTCAAATTGTCAGAGTTATCCATATCTGACTTATCCTTCTCATGAATTCCCTCAATTACATCACCGGTGTTGTCATCATCAATGAATATCTGAAATGGCTCCTGCATGGGCTCTTGAGTTTTAACTGTAGTGGCTTGTGGCACCGATGAACCATTTGCCAAGGTTTGCTGAGATGATCCAGCAACACCATCTGTGTTTTCATCGATAAATACCTCAAAACCATTGTTTGATCTCTGATCAACTTTTGGCTGGTTTTGACGTGATTGTTTGCCAGCCAGAGAAGGCTCTAATGGCTCTCGAAACATATTATTTATTGCATATATGGCCTCCTTCGTATTAATGGTAGGTTCCACCAGACCATGATGTCGTGCATCTTCCACAGCAGACTTCCCACCAATGGCATTACCAACAAATTTAACAACAACTGTATCTTCAGTGGTAAACTCTCTCCTGGAGCCCTGTGAAATGGCAACCTTGTTTTTCATATTTAAATGCTTGGATCGTGCGGTGGGTAACTGATCCCTGATGCTGATACGATTGTTTTCTGTTCCACTTAAATTCTCCTTATTTTCCTCAATCTCATTGTTCTTCGAAGTGATGTTTTTAGCACCAAGAGGACATATTTTATTTTTTCCTTCTTGGCGCTGCAGAATATCTTTCCATTGTCAGTTAACGGCTCCTATTAACAAAAAGAAAAGGTTTGATTGACAAATATGACCAATGTAACCAACCTGTATCCTCTTATTCTTACGATGCTCCATGCGATGAAGAAACTCCTCATATGATTTATGTAACTCATCAAGTGGCTCTGCAAGGCTGTTCAGTGAAGAATGAGACAGAAATCAGTTAAGCAATATGTGTAACTACTTTTTTTCAGAATTGTTCTTCATCTGTTTAGTGGAAAAAGACATCACCAACATAAAGGAGGTCAGACTGTTTAAATAATTGAGCGAAGGGAAAGGGGCTATCACCTAGTTAAGCTGTTGCAATCAGATAACGATAGAAAAAAGATTCCCTTATTTAACAGGATAGATAAATTGTTAGGTATCTGATAACAGGGCCCTGAAATTAAAAAAGGATAGATAGAAAGGAAACTCATACATCCCAAGTCATGAAGGAAAAAGAGTGAGAAAAAACAATAGGCCACTTCTCTTCTAAAAGGATCTATGGAACAATGCTGCTTTTGATTTTAAAAATACATCTAGCAAAGTATACAGTGCAGCAATTAGGCACAAGATAATTTCCAAAGAAGCAAGTAAGTAAATCAACTTAAATTAGCAAAACTAATGGTGCAAAGATACACACCTACACTAGTACTGCTTAATCACATCCCGAAATTGGCCATAGGAAACAAAACTGCTATCAGACCTTCTAGAGTATCAAATATTCATAGCTCAAGAAGAAAGTTTGCATAAGTGGGGATACTCAATTTGGCTGAGGATTACATTTGATGTGCATCCTAGGATTAGATTATGCAATACACTTTGAAAGGATAATTGACCTTCACTAAATATGACAAAACGAATAAAGCTTTTCCGAATGGGTTAACATTTCCCTTTAGAGTAATATGGCTTTAGATAACCCTAAACAAATGCAAAACAATGAAGAATCTTTTTCACTGAAATTTGACAACAATTTAGAAACAGAAAAAATGTTGTTAAGCAAGCTAATGTCGATTAAACTGAATGGTGAAAATGAGCAATAAACAGCATTTATCAACAGTTCTTTCACCACATTTCAGTAATAACAACTTAATAATCATACAAATGTCGGAACTAGCTAGTGTTGGATGCATAAAGAAATTTGAATTAAAGTATTCTTAAAACTAATAACTCAATATATTTAAAATCGGAACTAGCTAGTGTTAGTTACTTACTTCTGCACACCCAAACGGTACATCTTCTCCGCAGCCTCAAACTTTTTAACCTTTTCATAATAAAGAGCATATGCTATGTAAAACGGAGATTTCTTCATCCCAATACGATTCAATGCCATGGTTTTTAGTACCGTTTTTGGCTCATCCACATATTCCATCTACAAAAAAAATTCAGTTGTAAATCCCAGATTTAATACATTCTTTTAAAACAAAGAGAAAAATAAAAGGAAGTTACCAGTCGTAACCAGACACGAAGATAACGCATATCATTAGCATAACGGCGATCGGTCTCAAAAGTCTGTGCACATTTCTGAAGAAAACGTGGCAGTTTCTCCTTAAGCAGCTGCGGAGGTAGTGACTCTTTCATTTTCTTTATTCCTCTTCAAATGAAAAAAATAAATGTATGAGTTGTAGGATTTGATGTCAGAGAAATGTATGAGTTTTGTTAAAGGATTGCTTACCGGAGCCAAGGGCAAAGAGGGTCTTTGCCATTGTAGGATTTGATGTCAGAAACCAGAGAGGAGAAGAGGTCATTGTACTGCATTGAAGTGGTAATTGACATTGATTGGAAATGGAAACTCCGCTGCAAGAGCAAAGATTGGTATCCAACACAAACCTAATTTGAATTTTGAGAGAGCGCTGTGAGTTTTATATTTCAGTTTGCCCCAAAAGTTTATAAGATAACATGTTCACCCCCTTTTCAATAGAAGGACTCCTTTTTTAATTGAGGGCTTTCTCTTTTTATTTTTTAACTTCAGCATCCAAATCTTTTGAGTGTTTATGGACATGGTACTTAGTATATGCTACGCAACAACAAAAAATCTTCAATGTATACAATACAAAAAGTGAACATTTTTAATTCAAAATCGTAAAACTAGCGGTAGAATCGTAGAGGTAAAAATATTTTGTTTAGATTTAACCTGTCGCACTTATATGCATCTTACAATAATATATACTTCATAATTTAAATATATATAATTATTAATCAAAGATTATAAATTTTAATAATTTCTAATATTTGGTAGACGTAAGATTGAGTGAGTTAATTGGATAAATCTTTCTCACTAAATTAAATAATATATTTACCTTCTCAGCAATTTTATTTTTCTTTCTCTATGTATAGACTTTTTTCATGGTTCTACGACTTTACTTTCTAATTTCAATTCAAATTCTCTAAATTAACTTGTCACGTCTCGGACCTGGGCCTGGACGTAACACGGCACCCGGTGCCTGACTACATGCGACCGAGCGAACCATCTGGCTGGCTGAATCAACACGTGATATCATAACATACTGAATGCGGAAGATAAACTAACACATGCTGCTATACTGAAAGTCTGGATGATATAAATCAAAGTACAGAAATACTAATATAATTCTGAAACATATTTGTAGCCAACATAGCTTAATATGAAAAGCCTGCGACTCTGTTTAACTGTTACTCTAGTCTATGAAGCCTCTAATGAAGTATTGAAAACACTGACTATCTGAAAATACTGAAGACTGTAAGGTAATGATAATGCCCCGAAAGAACTGGGATCGCCAAATAGCTGGTACGAGAATCCTAGTGCTCTGAATCATTAACCTGTAAATCATTACCTGCATCGTGAGATGCAGGCCCCGGGTAAAAGGGACGTCAGTACATTTGAATTGCACTGGTATGTAAAGCAACTGAAAGAAAGAATTATAAATGCTGAAACTGAAACTGAGCTGATAACTGAGAATTGATAATTGATACTGAATGGTAACTATTGAAACTGAAACTGAAACGATAACTAATAGTTGATAACTGATAACTGATAACTGATAAATGAGCACAAGCTACGACCTCAGGCCCAAGTATATATGTGCACAATATATATGTGCACAAGCTACGACCTCAGGCCCAAGTATACGTATACATAACTACGATCTCAGGCCCAAAATGCATAAAGCATAAACTACGGCCTCAGGCCCAAACATGCATAAAGCATAAACTACGGCTCGGGCCCAAGTATGCATAAAGCATATAAACTAAGGCCCCAGGCCCAAATACAGGTGTTCAACATTCAGGAATTGAGAATCATACTGAAATACATGATGCTGAAATACTGAATTATACTGAGTTACATGATACTTGAATGCTGAATAGAGCTAGACTGAGACATGTATTCATGAACTGATTATGAAAACTTATGCTTTAACTATTTATGACATGCTGGTAATCTAGACTGAGACTCATGGTAATTAAACACAAGTCTATATTGATTACGCACTGAGCTCACAACATTCAGAATGAAAGTCATGAACGAGTTACGAAGCTAGAGAATAGAAGTTCTGCAAATATTCAAGGAACTATGCTTAACTATATTTCTGAGGCAATTGGTAACGTCGTAAAAGAAACGTAGTGTAGGGAGAATCATTAAAATTCCCAAACATAGAGAGTTAGCCTCACATACCTTAACTTCCTGCTCTTGAGCATAATACAACGTTTGTCAACCCTTTCAACTTTAATCTAAATCAATACAAGTCAAAGGGATTCCATATTAGTAATAATACTCATGTTTTGGTCACTTAAGCATCTTATCAAACACTTGGTGAAAATAAAGCTTCATAGTCCTTATTAATGGTGTCTCTACACCCAATAACCCATTCTCTTATTCCTAGATAAATTCTAAAGTCTCAAATGGTTATAATCAACATTATTCTTTATCACCCATAAGGTAAACAACACCCTTAACCAATAATCAACAATCAACACCCCAAACCTATAATCGTTCATGCTTTTCTATCAAACCCATCAACTCATAGCATCAACTGCTTAACAACCGACATAAAAATAGATCACGTATTTTTAGAACCTCACAAAATTAAATTTAATTGTTATTACCATTTTTACGGTAAACAGTTTGGCGCCCACCGTGGGGCTAAAAGTAATAGTGATTATTTTCTTGCTGGTTTAACCACGAAACGCAAGTTATCTTTCACACTTTTTCTTGCCCAAGATCTCTGATTTCAGGTCAAAATGTCTGGATCAATGAACGACAATCTTCAGAACCACAGAGAGAATGGTGTAGATGTTCCAGGTGTTGGTATACCACCACGAAACCCTGAGAGCACGCCGGAGCCGATTCCCAAGGGTACGACCTCATGCGACGCCCAGAGCGTTAGCGTCGATCCTCACATTAACCAGGGAGCGCGCCGAGAAATTCGGCAGGAAACTCGAAAAAATCCAACCTGGGCAAAAGGAGAGATTCCTTAGCATGTCGTTCATATGATTATCGGGGGGACCGACATTCCACAGGGACCCGCGATCAAACGGATAAAAATATCTGCTGCAGTAGAAGGGCCGATCCGAGACCGCATGACCGAAGACACCCTTGCATTCAGCGAGGAGGATCTCGAGACCTTTTCAGAACCACAGAACGACGCGTTGGTAATTTTATTTCTTTTAAGTAACATTCGAATTAAACGTGTGCTCGTGGATCCAGGCAGCTTGGCCAACGTGATCAGGTCAAAGGTAGTAGAATAGCTTGGGTTGCTCGATCAGATCGTGCCCGCCTCCCGGGTCCTCCACGGCTTCAACATGGCCGGCGAAGTAATAAAAGGAGAGATCGCCCTTCCGGTTGACATGTCCGGTACGGTTTAGAACACCAAGTTCCACGTCATCGGCGGTGACATGAGGTACAACGCATTGCTCGGTAGGCCGTGGATACACAGCATGAGGGCAGTGCCGTCAACTCTGCACCAGATGATAAAATTTCCAACAAAGGGTGGTATAACAACCATATATGGAGAACAGCATGCGGCAAAAGAAATGTTCGCGGTTTACCAGGAGGCTCCGACTCCAATACACTCCACCTCGGATGAGTTTGGGAGCGTACAGACCCCCGAGGATGCTGAAGATGATTTCCTCGCTCCTCGAACTTTCGTTGCCCCCGAAGAGTCGAATGCAACGAAATCAACAACTGAAGAACTAGAGCAAGCTGTTTTGATCGAGCACCTCCCAGATCAGAAGGTATACCTGGGAACGGGATTAACCCCCAAACTCAGGAAAGAACTCATTCAATTTCTTATTAATAACATCGACTGTTTCGCTTGGTCCCACTTAGATATGACAGGAATCCCGCCGGAAATAGCCACCCAACGATTGAGTGTCGACCCCAGGTTTAAACCAGTGAAGCAAAAAAGAAGACCCCAATCCGAAGTAAAACATGCATTCATCAAGGATGAAGTAACGAAACTCCTTAAAATAGGGTCCATTAGAGAGGTAAAGTACCCCGAATGGCTGGCCAACGTAGTGGTAGTACCCAAAAAGGGAAATAAGTTAAGAATGTGCGTAGAATATAAAGACTTAAATAAGGCGTGCCCCAAGGATTCGTTCCCATTGCCTAACATCGATCAACTGATCGATGCTACAGCCGGCCACGAGCACCTTTCTCGACGCCTACTCGGGGTATAACCAAATTCAGATGAACCCCGAGGATAGGGAAAAAACTTCGTTCATCATGAAGTATGGTACCTACTATTACAATGTAATGCCCTTAGGGCTGAAAAACGCAGGGGCTACGTACCAACGGCTAGTTAATAAAATGTTCGAGCATCAAATAGGCAAATCTATGGAAGTTTATATTGATGACATGCTAGTTAAGTCCCTGCGTGCAGAGGACCATTTGACTCATTTGCAGGAAACATTCGACATGCTCAGAAGTTACAACATGAAGCTTAACCCCGAGAAATGTGCCTTCGAAGTGGGTTCGGGCAAATTCTTAGCCTTCATGGTATCGAACAGGAGGATCGAGATCAACCCCGACAAAATCAAGGCCATCGAAGAAATCACGGTGGTAAATAATGTAAAGGCCGTGCAATGGCTGACGGGGCGGATAGCGGATCTAGGCAGGTTCATATCGAGGTCATCAGACAGGAGTCATCATTTCTTCTCTGCTCAAAAAGAAAAACAACTTCAAGTGGACTCCAGAATGCCAACACGCCCTAGAGGAATTGAAACGATATCTGACTAGTCCGCCTTTGCTTCACACGCCAAAAGAGGATAAAACGCTGTACCTATACCTGGCCGTATCCGAGATAGCGGTAAGCGGTGTGCTGGTTCGAGAAGAGCAAGGTACGCAATTCCCTGTTTATTATGTAAGTCGGACCCTAAGGGATGCTGAAACTAGGTATCCGCACCTAGAGAAATTAGCTCTTGCGTTAATAAGCGCATCGCGAAAATTGAAACCTTATTTTCAATGCCACCGTATTTGCGTCCTAACAACGTACCCTCTCCGAAGCATATTACATAAGCCCGAACTATCGGGCCGATTGGCCAAATGGGCCATTGAACTCGGGGGTTATGATATCAAGTATCAGCCCCGAACGGCCATCAAGTCCCAAATTCTAGAAGACTTCATGGCCGATTTCTCGCCCTCCCTCGTGCCCGAGGTAGAAAAGGAACTATTACTAAAATCAGGCACGTCTTCTGGGGTATGGACCCTGTTCACTGACGGCACCACAAACGTGAGAGGATCCGGGCTCGGTATAGTACTGAAGCCGCCTACGGGTGGCATAATCAGGCAATCTATAAAAACTGCAAGATTGACTAACAACGAAGCCGAGTATGAGGCTATGATTACAGGTCTGGAATTGGCCAAAAGCCTGGGAGCTGAGGCCGTTGAAGCAAAAT